ACTATCTGATGAACAAAGTGGAGCATTTAATAATTAAAGAATAAAATAAGGGTACATTTTAGACATTTTGATAATTGATTGATTGATTAATGATTTAACTAATTGTAAAGTGTCATGTCATTTATCAAAGACAAATGCCAAAAGCTCATTTCCAGCTTCTCCATTAATTAGAGTTTTTAATGATGTTAAGACATTATATACACTAAACTACAAGTCAATTGATTTGGAAATGGAAATGAAAATAATCATTAGCTGCAGCTGTAACTGAATAACATTCTTTATTATCATTATGCTAATCACTCCAATTTCAGAATATACAGTATGTAGTAGTTCTGATGTCCCACTGGTGCTGAGCAATCAGCATAAAGTTGCCTGAAGATACCACTCTGAAACAAGCTTCTCCCTCTCCAAACTAGGGACCTTTGGCCATCCAGTCCAGGATTTAACAGGGTTTCCTGACTAAACTCAGGAAACAACAGCCCAGACTAGGAAAATTACAATTGCTTGTTTGTAGTTATATTATCGATTCCACACTCCACTGCACAAATCTAATAATCTCAAAACACATCTGAACATTATGCAGAATTGTCAAGGCCTCTTAGAATTCTTCTAGAAAATGCTCACAGACACTTCAGAACATCAATGACTAGCACAGTCTGTATCACAGCATTGAGAACTCTTGTCTGAAAGACAGCCAGCCAGCCAGAGAGAATAATCTGAGGGCTTCTTACCTGCTTTGCTCACATCCTGCTCGGCTGCTGAAGGTAGGACAGCTCCTGGTCTGCTTGAGGAACGCTACGAAAGAGAAGGAGGAGAGGGGGGTAGGTGAGGAATTGAGAGAGGGCGGCAAGTTAATGGAAAGGCTAGATAGAGGGAGGGCAGATAGGAGAAAGGGGGCAGATGGATGGAGAGAGAGGGGAAAGAGTTACTGGTGGCTGCTGCATCCCCTCTCTGCATGCTGAGCCCCACAAACAGAGCAGAGCAGAGTGCTGCACACATCCCTGCCCCTGCTCCACTCTCCCTCTCTGTGTGTGCAGCTGTCTGTGTGTGCTCACAAGAAAGATGCAGCTAGTCCGTATGGCATCATATCTACTTAACTGGAGCTGTGAGATACCTCAGTGAAACACGTGTGTGGTCTTGTATATTTGAAAATTAAATGTCTATAGAATAGAGATGACCAAATTCCATGTTGTATATCTGTGCTTCTCCAAGGAGGAATTGCCAAACCAGCAATGAATTAATCCTACCAAGCATGGCCGTAACCAGCTATGAGGTCACCGAGGTCAGGACCGCCGTAATATGTACAGCCTATCAATAAAAAAACATTCTAACAAAAACCCTTGATAAGATGATCAGCATTAAATGTCCATTTTGGCAAATTAACATTTGGTTTGCTGGCCATTTCAGTGACGAGCCAGCTAGCTGTCAGTGCTACCAATCATCTTACATCAGTTAAGAACTACGCTGAACAAAATTACAAACGCAACACTTTTATTTTGGCCCCCATTCAACATGAGCTGAACTCAAAGATCTAAGACTTTCTCTCAAGTATTGTTCAAAAAAATGTCAATCTGTGTTAGTGAGCACTCCTCCTTTGCCGAGATAATACATACACCTCAGGTGTGGAATATCAAGCTGCTGAACAGACAGCATGGGGATTGCACAGGTGTGCCTTCTGCAGTTATCATGCAATTGGCATGATAACTGCAGAAGGCACACCTGAATGTCCACCAGAACTGTTGCCCATGAATTGAATGTTCATTTCTCTACCATAAGCCGTCTCCAAAGGCAATTCAGAGAATTTGGCAGTACATCAAACCGGCCTCACAACCGCAGACCACGTGTAACCACACCAGCCCAGGACCTCCACATCCACGCTCTCGTCACTTCCCGTATTGATTACTGTAACTACCTTCTCTCTGGTCTATCTCACAAGTCCATTCATAAACTTCAACTAATCCAAAACTCTGCTGTCTGTATTATCACCAGGACCCCAGTGTCTGAACACATTAGTCCACTTCTAAAACAACTGCACTGGCTTCCTGTTAAATACCGTATTGATTTTAAAGTTCTTATTCTCACCTTCAAAGCACTCCATAATCTTGCTCCTCCTTATCTCTCTGAACTCCTTCAGCCCTACACCCCATCCCGAACTCTCCGATCCTCTTCTTCCTCACTACTTTCCATTCCTTCTGCCCGCATGTCCACTATGGGGTTCAGAGCCTTCAGCTATTGTGCATCTCACCTTTGGAACTCCCTCCCTCTATTCATCCGTACGACTGATTCCCTATCCTCCTTTAAACTTCGCTCAAAACCCACTTATTTAGAAAGGCCTACCTCACATAACTCCACCTTCCACCGGCTTCATGATGAACTGCTTTCTTTTATTTCTTTATTAAATTCTTTTCTCTATTCTATTTTATCTTAATCTTTATATTGTGTCTTGTTTTGATTTTTTGTATTGCCTCCTTGAAATGTGTTCTAACTCTTTTAATCTGTAAAATGTCCTTGAGTGCTATGAAAGGCGCCCACAAATAAAATGTATTATTATTATTATTATTATTATAAGATTGTCTGAGACCAGCCACCTGGACAGCTGCTGCAACAATCAGTTTGCATAACCAAAGAATTTCTACACAAACTGTCAGGAACCGTCTCAGGGAAGCTCATCTGCATGCTCGTCATCCTCATCGGGGTCTCGACCTGACTGCAACTTTGCACAGCCATTGAAGAAAGTTGACCAACATTCCACAGGCCACAATCAACAACCTGATCAACTCTATGTGAAGGAGATGTGTTGCATTAAGTGAGGCAAATGGTGGTCACACCAGATACTGACTGGTTTCCGGACCCCCCGACCCCCCCCCCCCAATACAGTGAAAATGCATACAAATACATTTTCGAGTGGCCTTTTATTGTGGCCAGCTTAAGGCACACCTGTGCAATCCCCCTGTCTGTCAGCATGTTGATATCACACCTGTGAGGTGGATTGATTATCTCTGCAAAGAAGAAATGCTCACTAGCAGATTTTGACAGATTTGTGAACAATATTTGAGAGAAATAGGCCTTTGTGTACATAGAGAAAGTCTTAGATCTTTGAGTTCAGCTCATGATGAAAAACACAATTTTTTAAATTACTTATTTCTGCTCTGCCTGGCTACCCCACACCGAAGAGTCAGCAGTGTTCCTGGCCACAAAAGCACAGCTATGTGATTAATACATTTTTTATCTTCTTTTTTTTTTGTGGTTGGGTTCAGGGGTGTTGGCTGTGTATAGATTTATGTATTGCCTATGTATTTATTAAGCTAAAGCTTCTCCCTTTGTTCTATTATATTGTGTACATGTGCACTGTCATGCCATGTGTAACTTTTAGATTATGGCTTATTGTTTGGATGAACTTGAGTAATTAGTGTTGGAACACTTGACAAACCTAAAAACTACAGGAGCTGTGCTCCTCTGCTCTAGTTTTTTTGACAGTGAAAGTGATTTCAATGCAATAAGAAACTCAATAATTTCAATATTGGCTATACTTGTGACTTATCTTGTGTTAGATTCTTGTAAACTTTTCATCTATGTGTCAACACTGACATTATTTCAAATGGACTAGGACCCAACTATTTTGAAAAACCTGAACACGGTCCTGCCATAAAGTATTGTGTGTATCCAGAGCCTGATATATCTGCTTCATCTGTGCCACAAATTTCCCAAAACTATTACAATGACATCAGTGAACACAACCATTGTAAATCATTTTTGACTTAATCGAACACAGTTGTGCTGCTCACCATATCTGTACAAATCTGCAGCGGAAAATAGTTCCCAACAAATGGAGTATTTCTTCTTGTTAAATAACACTGAGAAAAAAGTTTTAGGGAATTATTTAGCCTTTAAAAAATGTAAATATATATTTGTCATCCATTTCAATAAGAATGAGTCGATTTATGGTCTAGTGTCACAGTCAATGTCTTATGAATGTTGCATGTTAACAAGTGATCTACAACATAAGCTAATATTATGTCAGTTGTGTATTTGGTTTTTAAAAAATAACAATTTCATAATATAGCTTTAAAGGGGCATTGCTAGATTTTTTGTTGCGCACTTTTTTGTCATACCCCCCAGCACCCTTAACAAGGCTGAATTATCAACTGGGCAAAGTGGCCAATGTACGTGTTGTCCTGAAACCTAGGGGCCCCAAAAGATCCAGGATTACTACATGTTAACTGGTTTGTGCTAAATTCACTGAAAATATGTTTGAGAATATGTGGCACTAAAGCACAATATCAACTACAATTAAGGTTGGCCATGATTTATTAGGCGACCTAATAATTACGCTGAATATGCTGCACATTCCTAAATTAAGATGTTTAGTCAAACTGCCACAATGAGTACTTCTACTTTTGATTATTTAGATGCATTTTGAGCATAAAACTACTATAAGTTCACTAAACTTTTTAATGCAGGAGTTTTACTTGTGATTGAGTATTTTATAAGGTAGGCTAATATACTTGAACATTATGTAAATTATCTGATTAGCCTACTTCTTCCACCAGGAGAAATTGCAATTACTTACAGTTTATGAACCCTTTATAAAATATCACTTTACAGAAAATGTTACCAAAATGACCTTTAATTTGATGTACATATATTGTAACATGTTTTTATTTGCAGGTAGGTTTTTTGTCGTTTTTATGCTGATCTTAACAAAGTGGTGTGGGTTATTTGAACATAGGGTCTTGTAAAATTTGACTGACTTTTAAGGTCGCTGCTGATGTTCCCTTGAGGGAGGAACTAATCCTCACCGGCCCAGCAGTGTAAAGAACCACAACTGGGCAGCTTTCAGTGGCAGTAGGGAGAGTTCCGAGTAGAGAACTGTAAAAACCCACTCACATTTACAACAATGATGTAGTGTTACATGTTATATGCAAAACGCCACACAAATATTCATCACTGCAGCAGTCACACTGTATAACATTAATTTATTCAAGCAACCCTAAAATCTCGCGGTGCTACCATTCAGACATCTTGCATTTTATTAAGTCTTGTCTTGGGAGAACATTTTCATTTAACATACGCTAGTGGTTTCGCGCAGAAACGGGCCTTTGTTAGTCGACTGAATCCAGATCGGTTTCCCCCCGTGTTACGGATGTGAGGTGGTTGGACCGAGCCTCGCGTGCCACTCCGGCGGAGTTTAATACGGTCTCTCACGGGGCTCTCTGCTCGTATTGTGCGTCATCTCCATCGCTGCCGTTTTGTTATTTTTCTGCACCGAGGAAACATGGCAACTCCCGCCGCGGTCAACCCGTCCGGTAAGTCACCATGAGTAAGCTGGGGGAGGCGAAACGGAATGTTTAATAATATTATGTAGAATACAGAAAAAGAAGCTGGGTGTTGTTTAGACTGTTGCTGAAGAGGGCTGAGCGACGACAGGCCGCCAAAGCCTGGCTCCAGCATCTTTCCCCCTTCCCCCACCGAGCCGCCGCTCGCTGCTATTCTTCATAGCTTTGCCAGCGGCTCGGTTCTTGTGAAATTAAAAGCATTTATTCCCGCATTGCCGTATTCTCCCTCCTCTTTTTGTCGGTAAAGCTAGCCTAATATGTTCATTTCGCTGAGACTGTGCATTCCTCCCTGTGATACAAAAGGTTATTTTGCATATTTATCGTTGCCCTACAGCTCTGCCCTTCATGTGTTTTGTCTTACATCGGAGACATTTTAACAGTAACGTTAGTCCGAAAAGAGAGATCGGCTGACAGCGTTTACGCATTTGTAGTTGCCTGCTCCTCGCCTGTTGATTCCCTATTACATAGAAAGGGATGTGGACCTATGGTTTAGACATGTTCGTCCTGCTATGTGACGTTAACTTGCCGCTTTCACGGGCAGAGTGAAATGCTGTGTCTTGAAAATCTGTCAGCGTAACAACGTTGTGGTATTTCCTTTTTGGCTTGAGTTAACGTTGCGTACTGGAGGAAACATAACATAAACATTTCACACGGCTTCTTCAAAATCATTCTGCAATTCGGCCTCTAGCCACTATGACACAAAGTAACGCATATTAAACCAGCTAAACTTTCAGAAACCATGACTCAGTCTGGTACCTCGCTGGCCTGCAGGGAACTGTGTTAGTAAGAAGAGTGTGCTCCATGGTGGTTCACAGGTTTGCCGACTTAATAGAATTTCATGACACAATCTAACAAGTCTTGAGGTGTGCACAATGGAGGCTTAGTAACTAGTTAATTTGTAACTAATTTAGCTACTAATATTGGTTGCACTATAATTGGATCAGACCCTCACTAGTTTAAACTTAAATTCATAACTAAGGCAAGTGACCAATCAAACATAAGAGTTCTATCATCATGGTAGCTTTCTGGCTGGCACCGTGGCTTGGCATCATAACACAAAGTATTAAACTAGATCGATCTAGATCAGTATATTAGGTCTCTACTGGATTACTGTGTTGCAAAGTGACACACAGTTAATACAAAATGATGCTGTGTGGCAGAAATAAACACAGTTTTACCATTAGTCAGTATAATTCTGTGACTTAACCTAGTTTGAATTTACATACTGTTTACATACAATTTTAGTTATGGAGTGATCTTTCAGTTCAGAGCAGTGTTCTTTGGGAGATGGGAACTCCCTTTGGGGTGGGCTTTGGGCTTTTTCAATTTGCTAACTTATAAAATACACAAAAAAGGTATAGAACTCAATAAAGGATAGGGGAAAAAGCCAAAAGGTTTAATACCACCTCTTTACAACTACTAAAAATGCACATCTAGTGGCTGTTCATGTACACTGGGCATGCGCGTGCCAGTGTAAACATGAAGCAAATTGTCTATTCCGTAGTTACAGAAGATTTGGCGAAAGAAGAAAGTAATGCAGACGAAGAACCAAACCATTATTTTGCTCCTCTCACAAATAGATAAATTGTTTTGTAAAAATGTTTTATTGCAAAGGAGACATTAACTTACCTCGATTCCCAGGTCGATAGCCTTGATATGCGCTTCAAGTTCATAGCGTTTTTTCCAAAAATCTTATAACCACATTGCTTGCCGTCCGATATAATTAGGCACTCTGTTTTTTTTGCCCGCCTCACTGTATTTGAAATGGGACTAAATATCTAAGCGCCTCTTTCTCCCTAGCATGTTGTGTTCATAAGTTCGCATTCTCCACAGTACAATAACGTTTTCCTTGCACACCAGGCGTCGCCCCGGTCCGCCAGCACTCAAAGGACAGGAAGAAAAAAATGCTGCTGAATGAACACTGTTCAAGTGAAAATTTAGAGGGAGAAAATATGGCCTGTCTTATTTTGTCTCCTCAATTTACTGACAAAAAGAGAGATTGTATGAACGTTTTTATTTTATGAATTACATTTTAGTCATTTTCGTCAACAGTATTGCATGTTAAGGTAATCACAGTCAGTGTTTAAGTACATTGTTGCCGTCTCGTCATTGTCTCCTTTTAGTCAGGGAAAAAAGATTGTACATGAATATATTTTGTTTAGTTTCATCTGCCGAAAGTAACACTACTAAAAGACCCAATCTGAGAGCCAAATGTGAGCGGCTGCGTTTTTAAACTTCTCCGTTTTAGGTCTTAGTTTAACATAGCAGAAGGTCTTCGTTTCAAAACGAAAACGCAGTGGTGTGGATGGGGCCTAAAACTCAACCTGCCTACATCGTGTAACCTTCCCTCTACCAAATGAAAGAACATTCAGAATACATTACTGACTGATTTTTCCAAATGTGCGCGTTTGTTTATATGTTGGACTGTTATCTGATTTGTCTGGTGGTGCTTATTGCCAAATTTTATATGCCTCTATTAATCTGGATCATAATCATAATCTTTATCATATACTGGTACTTGTCACTTTGCTCATCAATGAACAAAGTTAGCACAATGTTAACGTTAGCCAGGAATATCTCTGATGAGACGTCCAACATTCATTTGGAGATAAAAGTGTTAACAGGGATTATTTCTTAATTATGTTAGGTGTAAAAGAAACAGACAGGGTTTAAGGGGGGGGCTGTGGTGTTGGTGAGTGAGCAAATGTTACCGCCTCTAGCTTAATCGTTATCACTTTTGTGTGTGCTAGCTAATAGGCTAGATAACTACTATCAATGTAAATCACTGAGGCAAACTGCAAGGTATCGTAGCATACGGACAAATCCTAGTTTGACTTTAAGATAGTTACCTTACCGACAGGCAATATAATAATTAATTAATTAATATTTTGGACCAAACATGGGATTTAGTTTAGCTATTATATGTACAGCTGCCAGGCAGAGCCATGATCTTTTTGGTGAACAAAGATAACAAATGTGCACTTTTAGAAAAAAAACATCAGTCAACATCACGTAATGTGTTTTATTTTTATTTTGTGGATGCATTTTTCAGTCAAAGGTGAAACAGCACAGATATGATGGATTATAGTGGGACTGTGAGAGGTAGCCTCCAGTTTCCCCCAAACCCACAATGGGCCAATGAACATGGTATTTGAACTCTTGTTCTCTAATTGTAAATTCATGCTGCTTAATGTGACAACACACGGTGGGACTGTTAGTTTGTAATACTGCTAGCTTTATAATGCTAATACGAAGCGTCCTTTACTGGTGTTGAAACATGCCAAATTGTAAAATGTACATCGGAGTTAAAAAATGTTTTCAGACCTTTGTGACAGGGTGACAGCATGACATTTATGTTGTATTAAATTAAATTTGCAATATTGTTTTTCATGTCAATTGTATACTTGAATTGCTTATATCATACTTTCCCGGATCCCTTGCAACTTTTAGCTTGTGGAAGGAAGAACAAATTGAGCAACTAGTTAGTCATTTTAATATGGCCTGTGTTGGCTGACATGTCAATAAATTAAGGGAATTACAGTTGAATTAAGTAATTGTACAAATTGTACTGTAGCCATTGCATGTCACGGTCTGTGCCTTAAAGTTGTTATTATTAAAAACAAAACAATTGTATAAATTATTCCAACTTGCAGCTTTTGCTTCTGGATTCTCTAGATAGGACTTTGGGTGAAAGGAAAAAAAACACCAAAAAGATCTGTCCAAATCAGGGCAGAGGCAAAATAATTATACTTGTGCAAAGGACAAGGACAAAGGAGTCTCTGGGCTTCTGAAAACAGGTCAAACCACACTCGACCGTGTGCTCTGTGTCACTTAATTGGCAATGTAAATGAATAGTCAATATAAATAAAGAATTGGCTGGTTATTAGCACCTTGGCTGCATACAGAGTGTTGAGATGAGGTGTTGTTAGAATGAACAATGAGAAAATTACCCTGCCAGATAAAAGAAGTGTGCTGTGAGAAGATAAAACAGAATCCTTCCTCTTCTGCTTGTTTAAAGAAAAGGCAGTCTGTCAGTCTTTGCAGAGGAGCGTCATATATCTTGTATGGAGCCCTCCAGGACAGCGACCAAACTGTTGCTTTAATTATTTTAATTATTATGCTTCAGTGACCCGCTCAGATGTTTGGCACACACGTGCAGTGAGAGCTCCTCTATCCCATGATGACACCTGGTTAGAATTACAGTGAGGAAAATAAGTATTTGAACACCCTGCTATTTTGCAAGTTCTCCCACTTAGAAATCATGGAGGGGTCTGAAATTGTCATCGTAGGTGCATGTCCACTGTGAGAGACATAATCTAAAAAAAAAATCTAGAAATCACAATGTATGATTTTTTAACTATTTATTTGTATGATACAGCTGCAAATAAGTATTTGAACACCTGTCTATCAGCTAGAATTCTGACTCTCAAAGACCTGTTAGTCTGCCTTCAAAATGTCCACCTCCACTCCATTTATTATCCTAAATTAGATGCACCTGTTTGAGGTCGTTAGCTGCATAAAGACACCTGTCCACCCCATACAATCAGTAAGAATCCAACTACTAACATGGCCAAGACCAAAGAGCTGTCCAAAGACACTAGAGACAAAATTGTACACCTCCACAAGGCTGGAAAGGGCTACGGGGAAATTGCCAAGCAGCTTGGTGAAAAAAGGTCTACTGTTGGAGCAATCATTAGAAAATGGAAGAAGCTAAACATGACTGTCAGGCTCCCTCGGACTGGGGCTCCATGCAAGATCTCACCTCGTGGGGTCTCAATGATCCTAAGAAAGGTGAGAAATCAGCCCAGAACTACACGGGAGGAGCCGGTCAATGACCTGAAAAGAGCTGGGACCACCGTTTCCAAGGTTACTGTTGGTAATACACTAAGACGTCATGGTTTGAAATCACGCATGGCACGGAAGGTTCCCCTGCTTAAACCAGCACACGTCAAGGCCCGTCTTAAGTTTGC